AAAGAGAAAGAGAGAGAGAGAGAGAGAGAGAGCGAGAGAACAAAAGAGAGAGAGAGAGAGAGAGAGAGATAAAGAGAGAGAGAGAGAGAGAGAGTGTGTGTGTGTGTGTGTGTTTGTGTGAGAGAGCGAGAGAGTCGGAGGGACGTTGGCTAAGAACGAGAGAGCAGCCAGACACCTTAATTCCAAGCGTGTTGCAGACGAGGGCTCGGGTTCCAATGCAACACTCGGGTCATGTCCTCCTTTGAGTACCATCCCTCCTCGACCGAGCACGTCTTCTTGTCCCGCCGGTTGATGCTGTTCTGCACCGATGTCACGAACTTGTCCTGCGGGGACGTTCGTGACGGGAGTCGTTTCTCAGGGCTGGGTTTGATTGGCGAGTCAAGTAAAACTCAATTCAATTGGTGTCACCAGGAGGATCGTCAGACAGGCTGTTTAACACGTAGTGTATCATAGCCCCATATGCACTATATATATGTAGTGTGTATACACAAGTAATCAAAACCTGAACATATACACACATACACTATGTACATGAAATCAATGTAGAACTAACATGCAGGTATGTGTTTTCTTTGTGCATTTGACATGGACTTCTGTGCTCAACTTACCCCCGAGTTTGCCCAGACACGTCAACTGATTCAGAGGCATCCGGACCGTGCAATGTTCGGTCCTTGTTGTAGCCAGCCTCCTCGTACTGCAAGGAGAGAGCAGAATGGTTTCCAGCCTTCCACAGGTCATGCAACCAAGTTGGCACAGCCAGCGACCCATTCTTGCGGCGCTGGCAAAGTCGGCGAAGCTTAGCATTCCTCGCTGCCCGGGTCTTCCTGACCACACCGTCACCGTCCTCGGTGACCTCTTCCCGCATCTCCTCTTCCTTCTCCTCCTTCGTCTCGGCTTCGGTCTCGTCCTGTAAGTTCGTGATTCTATATGGATTCTGTTTGTTGGCATACAGCAGACATGTGTGAGGCATGCATGCAGGCTATATATAGAACACATTATCACCAGGCCTGCTCGGGACAGTCATTCGGGGGCCCACGGTCAACGAAGTTCTCCACACTACCCTTGCTGCACTCGCTCTTGGGGGTGGGCTCCGGGGCGGCGTCTTCACCAATTCGGGCCTTCTTCTTTTCTGGGCTGCAGCCTGTGATCCGGTAGCCCAAGACTGAGCTAGCAGTGTCCAGGCTCATTGTGCCAGCGATGACCATCTGCCGCACACGGTTCTCGAGATCGGCCAGCTCCTTGCACACATTATTTAAGATTCAAGCAAAAGCCCATTATATGCATGCAGCTAGCTATTCTTAAAGTCCTGGCTCTGGGCACTCGTAGCCATGGAAGACGGTGAGTTTGAGCGGGGGGGGGTGGCCGTGCTTGCTTCGGGCTTGTGGAGGTCGTTGAGCTCGAGGTCATAGGCCTTTGCTGCTAGTCAATTGTGTGCACTGCGTGCAGCACTGTAGACATATAATGTGCAGCACGAGACAGAACTTGTCGAGTGGGTAGACATATGCTGCATTCACTAGATGTGTTTCAGAAGACAAAGGGCCGGCTGGGTAGCAGCAGTTTGCACCAGCTGCTTTTCCTGCACAGATAGCATGGGATCTTGACGGGATGATTGTTTAGTGCATGAATACACAACAACTAAGGTGTGACTTCTCTTCGTCTCCGCGTATGGCCTGCAGCTCTAGCTCCGCGAGCTCAGCATCCATAGCCTGCAAGGACGAAAGGGCGGGCCGAGTCTGGTCAAAACTAATCGCATCCGAAAACCACAGCACTATCGGTGTGAAGCATGGACCTAGACATGTCTAGCACCCCCAACCTCCAGCTCACGTAGCTCCTCAGGATTATTCCCATTCTCCATCACCTGTAGCATGCCTTCACGAAGCTCAGAGCAGCTCCACATCCTGGAAGCAAGCCTGATATCAGCTGCGCCTTTGTCCATCTCGACAGGACGTGGGAACCCTAGGGGCAACAGGGGGCACAACTAGCAGCGCACGAGCTCAAAAGCAACATGTGGCCGTGCATGACGGCTCCGCAGCTTGTGCAGGACAAGCGACAAGACTTCATCCAGTGGTTGAGGTGGCAGCATTCAGGTGCTGCTTGTCTGAAACTGTAGCATGCTACATGCACTGCAGCCTAACAATCGCACCGGAGGGTTTGGTATATTTTAAGACCGACGAGCTTGTGTAAAGCCTAGTGCAAGCTGCTCGGACTTGTTTCCAACTGCATAGGTGTAATGCTAGACTGCTCAGGAGCCGTATCTACCAAGTCGCTATGTGGTGTGATCTGTAGGGAAGATGATCTACTTTGGTGTTAGTTTATGCTATCATTACAGGAACAAAATCTACCATGTCCGAAGTCGATAAAGTTCCTAACGAACATGCTTAAGAGCCTTAGGTTTCGATTACAACACGATAGGACTCACTTAGCTTAGGTATGGAACCCGTAGCAACACACCTCCAGCAGCAGTGGTTGAAACCTAGCAATATCTGTGTTAGTTTTGTATGGTATAGTACTAAAATAACCCATAAAATTTTACGGGGTGGTTATGCCTTTTTACGGGTAAGTTACGGGTAAAATACGGGCAGGGAAAATACGGGTTATAGGTTACCGGGTTTTTTTGTTTAGCGGTCACGGGTGTTTACGGGTAAGTTACGGGCGTTTACGGGCAGGTTACGGGTATTACCGGGTTATTTTCTCCCTGAGTATCTTGAAACCTATGATAACTATATTGTAGTGTAACTTAGACAGCAAAACCACAGTTGGAAACACAGGGCTCCAGGAATCCCCTTCTAATTGTATGGTACGAAAAGACGGGCTTGGAGCAGACTGGGCCACTTGCAGTTCAAACACGAGAGCTATCAGCTGGTACATAGTCACGGGAGAAGGGAATTCATTCACCTCTAGCAGACCTAAAGACTAATCGGGATCCCATCAGAGTGAACCAACAGCCCAGCTCCGTTGCCTTAATTGGTTGCAGCATAATATACATTCGATCAAGCACATGCACTGTGTGCATGCACTGAGCTGAGGAACAGCTCAAAGTGTCGTAGGCAGCAACGGACGGAAGTTCTCCGGGATTCGTAAAGAGGTGCCCCCACGAATGTAACGGATGCACTCAACCATATTCGCATCTTCCCACATGTCATCGTAAGTCATCATGCGAAAGGTATCAGCAGCCGTGGGCAAGTCCTTCGGCAACTGGGGTGTGCCTCGCTGCGTCGCGAGCATCTGGTCGTGGATCTCCACGAGGCGCAAGCCGAATTGTGGTGGATAGTTCCTGGGAGAATGGTGGTGAGATGCTGTTTGGACATAGTTACGAGGTCAAATAAAATTCAGGGGAGCAAACTCTTTTTGTTGATGCTTTCGAGGTCCCTATAGTTTCAAGCCTGAGTGTCGGCCATGATGTAGTTAAGTGTTCTAGGATAAGCACAGTATGGGCTGTCCGGCTGATAGGGGTTGCTAAGAGAGAAGTTGAAGCTTAGAAGGCCGAAAGAGACTTTTATCCCTAGAAGCAGACCCTACCATTAACCTCAGCATCCCAACCCCACCCTATATATGTTTATGCCAATCGTTGTTAACTAAGTACTCGATCACTCCGATTCTCGTGGGAATCTTATTGAAGTATGAAATTCTAGAGAGAGAACACCCGACCCGGCATGTTTCTGAGGACCCTACTCTGTCGATTTCAGGTTCTTGTTGCCGTGGTACCGCTTGACTCCCTGCTTGTCTACATAACGGTGGCTCGTACGAACTCTGCCAGGGTGATCCTTGCAAAAGCCCTGCCAATCCCGAAGCGGCCCCTTGTAGAGCTGGTTTACAGCAGTCGAATTGGCAAAAGCCCAGTGCGGCTTTGGCGTAGGAGCTCCATAGTGCCGCATGTGCCAGGTCACTTTGGTAACCTCGGCAAATCGATCGGTGGCGGGGGGGGAGAAAAGTAGCATGGTGTCGTCCAATCTAAGTACACATCCAGTATAGACACCCCCGAGAAACACATCCGAGAACGACGACATCTGAATCTCTATACATTACCACCCAAAACCATCTATTCTCCGTATATCACCTCATGCACCGGCATGGTATCTCGCAGAATAGCACAGGTAGCTGTCTATGCATGGTGAACACAGTCCGGTTCATGGATCTCACGACGAACACTTCGGGTGCCCATACAAAAAACCATGCTGTGTAGAACTGTATAGAACTATAAAACTACCCAACCGTCTGAACAGCTGCAACATAAGCCCATGCCGACCCTGGCGTAGGTACTGCCTTAAGAGAGCCCACTAGCCAATAAGAACAATTTAAGGCTATACCCAAGACCACTGTGACAGGATGGATGCACACGTGAGCCCTCCGACATCGCCGAGTCTGCGTGGCACATTGGCACTTCCTTCAATTGCTTCTGGGCAGATTCACGAAACCATGCAATGCTTCAGTGGCCAGTCTGCAAAGGGATAATTCAACAAATTGCCCAAGGCCGATAGCATAGAGTTTTGGACGTCATAGAAATCTTATCATGGCAATTACATTCATCGGGTTCGGAGCAGAAAGCCTATAGTACTTGCATAGTATCAGACCTGCAATGTGGATGCTGTCACAGGGTCAAGCTCCGCCATCCCGAAAGCTATAGATAGTCCATACGTTGTTGCAGTTTGAAAACTCATAAGCGGTGTGGCCTCGAAGCACTCGATCCTACCTACAGCAGACTGTGTGTGAGCTTTAACAAGTACATAC